TGTCAGTAAACTGTCCACTTTGTTTTTGAACGGAGGGACACATTGACACATCTTTTGAGGAAAAATGCCTTCTGAATCTGCATTCAGCTTGGTAGAACTGTTGCCATCATGGCCGTGTCTGCCGTCCATCTTCAAGATCCTCATGCGCCAAGGTCACCCACCTTCGCAGTGTGCGGCGGTTTCAGACGCACTGACCTGCAGCCACTCGACTGACTTCAACTCCGTCACACCTGCGTCCACAGTGTCGTAGCTACCCACGCGTCCCCTGAACACATCACTCGACCCAGACCCCCCCCTGAACACCACCGACCCCCTTCTCTGGAAAGTGCAACACACACTGACTGGACATCACTTGAGCTTGGCCAACGAGTCTACAAAAGCGGCTGCCACCACTGTCCGAGAGACTCTCAGGCACGACTGGACGCAGTGGCTTCGCCGGTAACCACTGCCGCCTGAGAGCGCAACTCCGGATTCTGTGCACAATAAACCCCTCACTGCCAATAGAAGCGAAGAGCCGCGTCCCAGGAAGTAGTCTTGAAGAAGGAGACACGATCGCCGGGACAAGAGCTTTATTAGCCTGACGTTTCGGATTCCTACTCGAATCCATCATCAGAGACAAAATAGCAGAAACGGGTGGTTGCTGCACAAAGGGCTGCGGTATTTATAGGATGCAGTAGTCATGCTACCGCATACCTATGAACGTTCACGGCTCTCCCCCTTCATCCGGGATTGTCACACTTGGTGTGATCATTGCTTGATGGCCGACATTCGAGTCGATAATTGCTGCAATTTCATCACGTGCGTTGGATGTTGGCGTGATGATTGCTCGACCATCTGACGCGTTGACTCGGGTGTTGCGAAGAGTGTTCACCAGTGCGCTCCCCGCGTGGCCAATTACTCCGCCTAGACGAAGTCTCAACACGCTGAATTGAATGGAAAGATCGTTGCACTTTTTGATGGACTGGGGGCCAGTAAACCATGATTCCAGTAGCTCCCGGCTCACTCGGTTGTCACCTCTTGCGAGAATTTCGGCCTCATCAAATTTAAATTTGTGGCCGGATCTCGTCGAATGAGCTGCAACTTGAGAGCTGGCGTCATTTCTGCGCACCGCTGCCGCGTGTTCGGCCATTGTCGTTCGGAGCTGTCTTCCGGTTTCTCCGACGTAGTTGCTTTATCCGCAACTGCACCAGATCCGATAAACGACTCCAGACCTTTCTAGCCGTGGCAGTAGGTCTTTCGGTTTCATGATCAGACGCCTGATGGTTGCCTCCGGTCTGTGTGCCATTCCAACCCCAAGTGGTGCGAGAAAGCGGCCGACAGCTTCCGAAACGTTCTTGACATACGGAAGTGCCCGCCAAGACTTGGTGTCCGTGCGGTTAGGCCTTTGGTCCCTTTTGCGTATGCACCGGTCGACGAAGTTGCGCGGGTAGCCATTGGCTTTGAAGACCCG